TCCCTCCTGTAAAGCATATATCTATCTATATATATCTATATATATATATAAAAAACTAAAAAACTCGCTGCCCCTATAATAGTATGCTGTATATATATATAAACTATTTCCCACTAAATAAATGAGTCATTTTCAAATGGATGCCGTTGTTTTCCACATTCCAGTCTACGTATCCAACAGGGAGCATCTGATTGAGTGTCTTCATTTAACATCTTCCAACATGAAAAATGACTTTCTCTTTAGGTTCAGCAGATCCTGTCCCTGGAGCTGGAGGAGTTACCCAGAGGGGACGAGAAGTCAGCATTTCTAAAACACAAAGAGAGACTGTAGCAGCTGTTAGCCACCGTTGCGGCGTGCATGAGCATCTCTTGTTTAATGAGCAATACCCTCAGACTGCGTGGATGGGAATGCACAAAGGGACTCGCCGCTTGTGTGGAGTCGGAGGCAAATATTCAAAATGCAATGTGCTTAGAGGAGATTACAGAGAAGCAAACGTTGAATCTTGCAGAACAAATGAGAGGCTGATTAAAAATACAAGCTTGTATAAATGCGTGTATCCGAGGCTGTGGAAGCCATTTGTCAAGTTGTTCACGGATCTGTCCTCTGCAGCAGTTTTGCAGGACTCTTATCTTATTTTTCCTTGTCGACCTTATCTAGTCAGGGCAGCGCCAGCACAAGTTAATAGAGCATGTTGCAAGTAGCCTGAGTTAAGTTTGTTATCGACTTATCACTTGGGAGGGAGCCGGAGTCCAGATAACCAAAAACACACCCAGATCTCATCTAGTAGTAGAGCCATTCATCAGTGTGGAACACAGTCTGGTCCGCTTGCATGCATTTATAATGATGTACTCCAAGTGTGTGTGTGTGTGTGTGTGTAAGTGTGTGTGTGTGTGTGTGTGTGTGAATGGTGGGGAGCCAATGTAAACAGGGAGGGTTATACTATAACATGGCTGTGGGGTTTTTAATAGAGTCTGAGAGTGTCAGACAGCTTTAAAGCAGCGCAGAGGCAGACTCGTGGTGACTATGTCTACCGCTGACAGCGTTTGAGCTCATGATGAAGCAGGCTGCAAAAACAGTCAGTGACACAGTGCTCACCAACCATATGTGCTCTACTGTTTGGAAAATAAATCTATTAGTCATGAAATCATTTTAGAGCTACTTAAAGAAACAGGTGAGTGAAAATGTTCCGATTGGCTCACATATAGACATGAGATACTTAACAGAACACTCTAAGAAGTTAAATGTTTTGTCAGCTGGTTCCCTGAAAGGCCAACGTCACTGAAAAACCATTTTTTTAATTATTGTTTCTGATTATAATCGGCCACTTTGAGATTGTCATGCAGGTTGAACATGAAAATAGTCTCCTACACCTATCTGCTGCATCAGCTTCTGCTATAAAATAGCAAAAAAAAAAGCCGGACAGATCTACGTCACACTGTCTCTTAACATTCATGGACTCACCCATCTTGGCTCATGATGGGGAAGGCTCTTGTTGGTTAAGCATCCAGGAAACAGCTAACTGTTAGCATTAGCAACTCCACCACACAGGAGAACTCCTCCAGGTGTGGTATTTGTGGAAATAAAACATCAACGTTGCAGAACAAACAGTCAGTGGTAGTCGTGTTGCTGTTAGCCAATCAGAAGCGAGATGTCCAAATATCTGGTTTTCAGACTCCAAATCCTGCCGCGCTCTGCCATTCTCTCCTCCAGCTGACTTCTATGTCCTCAAACAGGCGCACTAGAGCTTTTTTTCCCCCAGAGAACGTCTTACGAGACATTCATTCCTACTATAGACCAATGCAAATGTATTACAAACATGAGTGAGGTTGACCTTTAAATCTAATTGCTTGAATGTAAAGCCTTACTATTAGCATACAAACTTGTGTTGTGACTCGATGTAATCTGCTGCGTTTACTTAAATAAGACAATTTGAACTAATCTGAAAAATGAACTGGACTCAGTACACTGATAATCAGGTTCAATTGCAAGGTTTACTTAGTGAAACGCCTTGAGATGACACTTGTTGTAATTTGGCTTTATATAAATAAACTGAACTGAATTAAATCATTCACAATTTCTTAGCGTGTACATGTGTTAGGGTGGCAGGTTATCCCACATATGTGAATATAAAGTCTGGCCACAACCCACAGACAGAGCTCTGACTTGGGGCGGCAGCTATGGTTGCCTTTCAAACTGTCTCCTCGCGCTATTGGACAAAGAACAACGTGACATACTCAAAGCTACAAATCTCAGTCGGTGGGGCGGTTCACCATACGCTGTCCAAGAAGACCCAAATTCAGCCACTTAAAACAAGCCGCCATCTTTGTTGTTCTGCTTCATTGCACTAAACCAGTAGAGCGCTGTGATTGGAATAACGTGAAAATGATCAGGCCAATGGCAGACCGGTAGGCAATAATAACTTCTTAAGTCTAACGCAAAACATGGGAACATAATAAAAATGACCCAATGAGACCATAAAACTACAGGTTCTGTTTAAACCCTCCCCCCTTTAGTGATGTGAAGGAGACATTTTCATTCATCCAACTCTGTCTGAAATGATCTGTGTGGTTAATGCTGACTTTCTCCCGTCAGATTGTCAGAAAACTGTCCAAAACCCCCGTGGGAGAAGATTTTCTCTCAGTCTGAGCACAAAGAATTTAGACACATTTGATCTTCCAGCCAGTTCAGACAACAGCAGCTGCCCTATCATATTTCTCTTTGGTGTTTCTGAGCATTTTAGTTTCAGCCCAAAGAAGAAATGTGGAACCAAGTATTTTGTTTACCTAAGAATATGAGAACACAATCATTCACCCACGTTTTGACCCCAGATCATAAAAACAAAAACATTTCCTTCAAATAAAAAGGAAGGTTTGCTACTTTATCACTGGATTTGTTTGGTGTCTGCATGCTCAGGGAGGACAATGAGCACATTTTCTCCCCGGAGATTGGAATTCGAGATCAAACCAAAAGCTACAAGAAACAGGAGCTCCTCCAGGTACCAGATGGAGGAACACCACTTAAAGGTAGCACTGGCAAAGAAAAGCATCTCTGGTGTGTTTAGCCTGGACCTCACTGTGCATTTTTTTTGTCTTCCTAGGCAAATCTCTTGTCGTGAACAGAATCGTGACAAAAATGGTGAACGTGAGGGTGTGGAAGTCTGCGGCTGTCCAGTGTGACCGGTTTTGCAACAGCTTATTGAGAACTTTCACGACCAAAGTCAGACTCCAACAGACTTGAAGCAGTGCTTGAAAACCTACAACTCTTGTCTGCAATCGACCAATGAAAATACACCCAGGGAGTACAATGCAAGAGAAGAATAGTTGTGTTTGGTCATTAATCAGGGCTCCTGGGTCATTGTGAGCCCCAACAAAGTTTCACGCGCTAAATCCAGATAAAACTCAAAAAATGAGAGTATACAGGCTGTGTTTTTTTTCCAGTAATGCCATTTAGACTGAGAGACCATCTAAAGGCTCGGAACCTTTTGCAGGTGTTTTGGATTCATTAGCTGATTAGAGTGTGACGCTTTGAGCCTAGAAAATAGAACATTTTCCAGGATATTCTCATCGAGATTTTGGATTTGGGGTTTTCAAAAGCAAAGGAGCACTCTCCACCATGCCGTCATGAAAATAAATAAATAAATAAATAAATGTTAGGGGTCAGGGGGCCCAGGGTCATTTAGCCATAATCCTCAAAACTATAACAAATATAATCTTGAAATATCTTACTTTGCATGTAATGAGCCTATCTCACGCAGTAGTTTCACTTTTTAATTGAATTACTAATATAAATAAACTTTTGTACCATATTCTATTCTTTAGAGTTTCACCTGTAGAAGCTCAAAGAATGGTTTCCAATTGTAAAACCCTCTTTCTATGACACCTGTAGAGCAGTGGCGCCCCCAAGGGGTGGCCAAGGCCACCCCTACAAAATTGCTGGCCACCTCGCTGCCCCTACCTACCCAGGTAAGACCAGTGTTCTTTAATAGGTTGTATTAATGTTCGTACAAAACATAAATTTATGAAAATGAATAAAGGAGCATTTCTTGCATCACTACATGCTAAACTTTCCTTGAGTTACTACAAGATCCAATTTCACTTGCCCCATGGCCACCCCTACAAAACTGTTCTGGGGCACCACTGCTGAAAAGCATTCAGATAGATAGAGTATTAAGCCTTATTTATACTTCTCAGTATGCGTCGGTATAAAGGCAAGCAATGCCATAATGTGTCGGTACAAGAGCTTTCCAACGGGCTTGCAGAGGGTGATGCAGACATGCCCCAATTTTTATCTAATAGTTTAAAGTGACAGAGACCGCAATCTTGTGATTGGTCAGAATGACACTTTATTGGTGGACGGAAAAGACGATAAATGTGAGTTCAGAAGTGCCGACCCCATGAAGAGGTGGATGGGGGACAAGTCTGTTTGTGTTAAAAAGTTGCTGAAATACATTAAAACAATGTCTGTCGTGGACTGGATACGCGACTGTATTGTGGCAGGATACCCAGAATAGCACTACGCCCTCTGTTGTCCTGGAGGGGGATTGCTTTGCAACACTCCCGACAGAAAAGTCAGAGAGCAAAACTGTCGATGCCTGTGTCTCCCTTGCGGAGCTGATGGACAAATATAAATTAGAATTTTAGGATTAATACCTTCATCAAAAATTTACCAGTTCTACACATCTACTGCCCTCTACTGGAGAAGGAGCAGGTGGTAAGGGCCAATTTTGTTTACTTATTTGTGAAATAATTACATAATAAAATGAAACTGGTTTTTCTAATGTTATAATAACTTAGATAATAAATTGTTCAATTAAATAAACAAAAAACACATATTTTTTAGACAGATTGTTTATCAGGACTTTGACCCACAGTGGGGTCCCGACTCAACACTATGGGTTATAAATACTGAGAGGTTGTTGGAGTGGAGCATGAAAATGCACTTTTAGACTTCACAGATGCAAGCTGATGCTTCTGTAACCGAGTAAAGAAGGTGTGTGTGTGTGTGTGTGTGTGTGTGTGTGTGTGTGTGTGTGTGTGTGTGTGGTTGCCCACAGCGTGGTGGTGAGCTGCAGTCCGTTCCTGCCGTAGTTGAGTGAACTACATGGATATTAGCGGTGCCGAGCCACATCCACCGACCCACCGAACCGGGAGGACTTCAAAGCCATCGCGTGTCCAAAGAGCCGCTCGGTTACCGGCAGTGTGACTCGGTGAGACGCCTCGGTGTGTAATTACAAGTCCGTTGCACCAGTTTACAGCTGCTTAACATCGGATTAAAACCTGCCGGTGCGTCGTGATTTAGTGCGTCAGCCAGCCGGAGCGGAAAGGAAAGGAGAGCTCGGCGGGAATGGCTTCGTCTCCGTGCGGGAACACGAACTTTGATTCCGGGCTGGAAATCAAAACTCGCTCGGTGGAGCAGACGCTTATTCCTCTAGTTTCGCAGGTGAGTACCCCCTCTGTTTAAACTTCCGCCACAGCTGAGTTCGAGGTGGATAACTCTTCATGTTTACCTGTTTGTTTTCCTTCACGTGCCTCGTTTGAAATCATCCCCGCGTGCGGCAAAAACAGCTGGCTTTGTTTTTTTAAATGTAAACAGCGATTTCCTTAACCCACAGTGCAGAAAACACCGCTCTAGAGCTACATTTAAGTTGAATAAAGTAGGATTTTATAACTTTTTAATGTTTTGAAACATGATGCATAGCCTGTGTTATGTGAGGACCTCTTTAGATTAAGAAGTGTGCCAAAAACAGCCTCTAAATCACAACGAAGGCTTATGAAATCCCCCTCTCCTATGGGAGTCCCCACACCCAACTATTTCAAAGGCCATAAAAATTTTCCCAGAAGCTGCCAGTCCAGAGCTGAGCTGAGCTGTGGCCCCCACTTCCCTTCCCGAGCCACGTGCTTTGTTTTACAATAAACACAATAAATGAAATACCTACTTAAGGCCGACTTTCAACAACTCTTACCTCGTGCCTGCCTTTTAAAGTGTGGAACTTGAGTCAATGAGTTAATTGGGATAAATAGTTCTATTACACATAGTTGAATTTCTATGTAATAATGGGCTCTTGAAATTGTTGGACTGAGAAGGACTGGAACATGTCAGATAAGAGTTTGTTTCTGCCTGGTCCTTTTTAAACGTGACACATGACGAGCCTGATCACTATGGCCCAATCTCAATACGCCCTGGTGTCTTCAGCAAAGTGCACTTGGAGAAAGTGTGCAGTAGGGTTCACGTGCATAGTACACAAGTGCATGGATGTAATTTTTTTTGGGGGGGGGGACACAGGGGGGACATGTCCCCCCCCCACTTTTTCCAAAGTCAAGTTTTGACCCCTGCACTTTACAACATCCAAAAACAATATTACGCTATATTAAACTGACACTGGTTGAGCTCTAGGGCCAAGCGGAAAACAGCCGTTAGTGTTGAAGCCTGTTTCCCATTAGCGCATACTGTAAAGACACCCCCCCCCCCCCCCCGTGTCACCCCCCCCCACTTCTAAAGCGAAAATGACGTCCATGCACAAGTGTGCAAATAATTACCGAATTGAGACAGGGAGCATGGCGTCATCGATCCCAACTCATGCCGGGGATGTTGGTCACTGTGAAGCTTTTTTCAAAAACCTTTATTAACAACTTTCAAACAAACAACAAAGCAATTATTTGAAATAAATGTCACTTATTTGCTTCTTTGTCTAAAACATTCAGCATCAAATAATCTTCCTAAAATGAACTACTTTAATTAGAAAATACATATTTTCAGAAAAGGAACTTGAGGCGTTTCTCCTGCAGCAATGACTTGTGGGTAATTCCCTTGCCCGAGGTCTGCTTCGCTGCGGACTTGGGTGAAGTGCAGATTAAGGGTGCAATGGGGGCGTGGTCAACTTCCGCACTTGAGAATCGGGACACCCTACGTATTCACACACCTGGCCGGGCACGCGCAAATGAAGGGCGCAAGGGTGCAAGTGCGAGTATTGAGATTGGGCCTTTGGACAATTCCAATACTCGCTCTGCGGTCTTGAGCAAAGTGCACTTGGAGAAAGTGCACAATTAGGCTTTGAGTGCGTGGTACACAAGTGTGCATATAATTCCCAAATTGAGACAGGGAGCGTTGCGTCATCAATTGCAATGCATGCTGGGATGCTGGTCGCTGTGCTACTTTGTTCAAAAACCTTTTATTAACAACTTTCAAACAAGCAACCAGTTATTTGAAATAAATTTAAAATCATTGCTGCTTTGTCTAAAACATTCAGAGCATCAACAAATGTCCTAAAACGAACTAATTTCTTTAGAAAATACATATTTTCAGGAAAGGAACTTGAGCCTTTTCTTCCGCAGCAATGGATTGTGGGTAATACACTTCACCCAAGTTTTCATCGATGCAGACTTGGGTGGAGTTCGTATCAAAGGTGCAGAAGGGGCTTGATCAACTTACGCACTTGAGAATCGGGAGAGCCTACGCACTCTCACCCCTGGTCGGGATTGAGGAATTGAAGGGCACAAGGGTGAACGTGTGGCCCAATCCCAATACCCTCACTGCGTCCTATGACCTTTTGTGAAACGCAGTTGGAGGAAGTGCACAGTAAGGCTTTGCGCTCCCGTAGTTCAGTTACGTTCATAGCTGCTAGCCAAAACTCTGTGGCATTAAAGACTTTTACAGTTTTCTAGCTTTACTAAAATACATGTTTGTACTTATTTGATTGATGGCATTAGACTCCAAATGTAATCATTTGGCACGTTCCTAATTTGTAATATGTAAGAATGTAATCGGCGATATTAGCATTAGCATCTCTATGGGTTCTTCCATGTATATTAGCATTGTACTAACCACTCGCTGCCAGTCAAAGAGCAGCCTTTGCTATTAGAAAATCTCCTTTTGTCACATCGCAATTTAATTTCTTATGCAATTAATCGTTCAGCCTTAAATATGTTAAAACATATCACAA